ATGATGACATGGCATATGAAGTTTTACTGTTTAAAATTTTTGTTACCTAAAATGCACTTCTCCCTATTCCAATGCATTTACCTTATCACCCTTGTTTAGAAAACATGGTACCTGGAGGCCAAAAGGTGATACCTTCAGTTCAAAAACGTGGTACCTTTAGAACAAAAGTGGTACCTTCGTAAAAGGGACTTATTTTTGCAATTGAAAATGACATTAGACCCCACACCGCTAATTAAGTTGCACATTACATCCATAACCAGCTCCATTAGTGCCATGGATAACATAAAATATTCTCCAAGCTACCTAAGCGAGTGTTTAGAAAACATGGTACCTGAAGGCCAAAAAGTGGTACCTTCAGTTCAAAAACGTGGTACCTTTAGAACAAAAGTGGTACCTTCGTAAAATGAACTTATTTTTGCAATTGAAAATGGTATTAGACCCCACACCGTTAATTAAGTTGCACATTAGATCCATAAATAGCTCCATTAGCGCCATAAATAACACAATATTCTCCAAACTAGCTAAGCGAGTGTTTACGAAACATGGTACCTAGAGGCCAAAAAGTGGTACCTTTAGTTCAAAAACGTGGTACCTATGAGAAAAAAGTGGTACCTTCACAAAATGGACTTGTTTTTGCAATTGAAAATTATATTAAACCTCGCACCGCTAATTAGGTTGCACATTACATCCACAAATAATTCCATTAGTGCCATAAAGAGTACAAACTATATTCCAATCTAGCTGACTTGAGGGAATGAATAGTACAAAATATACTCCAAGATCACTTGGAACATTGTTTATTTGCTATTTTTTTTTTTTTTTTTAAATCTACAATATATCGTAAACACAATTATTCTTTACTTGATAGGTAAAGAAGCTGCTTTTAAGCCAATTCCATAATGGAATAGTACCTGCAACCCAAATTATCTTTCAGGAGGTGCGCTTGGTTCTTACAAAATAGGAACTTACCTCCACAAATTAATGCAAGAGCTGTCGAAATTAGGGTTAGGGCTTTAAGCTTGTAAGGAGTAAGATCAAACAATGATGAAACCTCACAAAAAGTTCTCTTTACCTGATAAGTGCCCTCACTTCTTCAAAGTTTTTCTCTCGGAACTAAATTCGTTCATCAATTAAAAAATTCATCAATGTTAATCAATGCCTATCACTACAACAAAAAATTCATTCTACAATTAAAAAATTCACCATTTATTAATTTTCTACTCCACCTGACCATTTATCAATGTTCCAAAACAAGGACTAAATCCATTTGTCAAGAAAATCATCAATTTCATAACACTGCTGTTGAAAAATTTATAAACCTTCTTATTAAATAGAAGAGCCTAACATGTATTTATTAAATAGAACAACCAAAATCCATTACTTTTCATTAAATCAAAACCATCAAGTAAAGTACCATGTCTACAAAATACTTTAAGTTACCACGAATGTCAAAAAAGTTATCATCCATCCAATCTAATAAAGTCAACAAGAAATAAAAAACTAAATCACTAAATTTAAAGGAAGCAATCATCTTTTGCGAAATAAGAACGCAATTATAAAGTTTGAAAATTTATTAGCCCCACTAGTCCATACAAAGTCTTGATTGAAATATTAGCCCCCATTCATCCATACAAAGTCTTGATAGCAATAATCGATCCTCTAATCACACTGTCAAAAAAAAAAAAAAAAAAAAAAGGTTACTACATTTAATTGTATCACATTAACGAAAAAATTAACCAACCTTAAAGAAGTTGGCGAAACGGAAAAGGTGAAGGAGAGGAACTGAAAACGTGGACAAATTTTCAAACTCTTGAACAAAATGAAAAAATTCAATTAAATGCATAAGATGAGGCATTCCAAAATTTCAATAACACATCTAATAATTATAATTGTATGTAAAGAAAAATATAATTCTAGACTGAGGCATTCCAGAATTTCAATAACACATTAATCTCTTTAAGTTATAATGTATAAGATGTATGTTTGAATTCATGATAATCATTCTATTCTCGTCATACAATTAATATATATATATATATATATATATATATATATATATATATATATATATATATTAGCATCATACAATTAATTAGGACCCAGATCTATATCAAAATTCTAAATGGTCTTCATGTATAAGAGGTCTAGAGACCAAATTGTCTCCCTATTATCATTGAAAAATTCTAAAGATTTAATTATGACCCAGATCCATATCAAACATGATCTTTGGATATCATAATTTTTTTAACAATTGCATTATTGAAATAGTTATTCAAAAGTCCCAAACAGCCTTGCCGATTAAAATGGTGCGAAAAAAAAAATCTACCATACTAACTATTTAGATGTAGTATATGATAATTAAGAAATATTTGTGTTATTTATGGCGCTAATGGAGCTGTTTATGGATCTAATGTGCAACTTAATTAGCGGTGTAGGGTTTAATACCATTTTCAATTGCAAAAATAAGTTCCTTTTACGAAGGTACCACTTTTGTTCTAAAGGTACCATGTTTTTGAACTGAACGTATCACTTTTTGGCCTCCAGGTACCACGTTTTCTAAATACTCACTTAACTAGTTTGGAGAATATTTTGTGTTATTCATGGCGCTAATGGAGCTGTTTATAGATGTAATGTGCAACTTAATTAGCGGTGTGGGGTTTAATGCCATTTTTAATTGCAAAAATAAGTCCCTTTTACAAAGGTACCACTTTTGTTCTAAAGGTACCACTTTTTGGCCTCCAGGGACCATGTTTTCTAAGTAATAAGGTAAATGCATTGGGATAGGGAGAAGGGCATTTTAGGCAACAAAAATTTTAAATAGTAAAATTTCATGTGCCATGTCATCATTTAGGTCAAACTCATTTTTGTGAAAATATAAGACTTTGACTTCATCCATGAGTAAATATGGCTCCTTAACTCTATTTATATGTAAAAATCCCAAAATGCAAACCCAGTTTAAAAAATAGTAAGGTTGAGTGCCTACTGTACCCGCCATCCTCGCCGTAGTCCTCATCGTTCCGTTTCACCGCCGTTCCTGCACCTCGACGGTAAGCTTCGTTCCGACCTCTCCTTCAGCCGTTCATCCTCTTCCACTCCCTGCTCATGATGGTAATCGAGTCCCTATACAGCGCTCTCGTCGACGCCAATTTCCACACCCAGATCAAGATCTCGACGCCATGTGCGGCATCGAATGTTCTCGACCCATTCCCTCCGTCGCAGCCGTCATCAGCATACCCAATAACCACCTCCTCACAATTGGGTCCTCCAATGCCACTGCCGCCGGCACCAGCTTCCATTGATTCCGTTGGAACTCCATTGATTCCAGTGAGCTTTGACTGAACCGTACTTCAACGATTAAAATATAGAGCTATACACACACACATAAATATATATATATATATATACACATATATATAAGAGCACTTGTTCAGTAAGAGACCCAACCGAGAGAGCTTAAAGAGAACATATCCCATGCGATTTGGTGGTTTTGTATCAATCATATTGCACATCCATATTGATCAACAAAGTATGCTTTAGATTCCTTTTGGAGAAAAAATAATAAAAAATAATGTTTCGGAAAGAGTAACGAGACAATTGGTTTTTGATCATATGATTTGGGTTGTTCTTGTGTGGACTGATGGGGTGAATTTAGTGGTTAAAAAGGAGTAAGTTTTTTGCTTTATTGCGACAATTGTTGGTGATTGTAAGAAATTTGAGGTGGGTTTCAATAGATTATAGGAAAGCAGAACATAATGGGGGTATTGTAAAGACAGCTTGTTGGCGGAGTTTCTTTGATGACCTTAATTTAAAGGAAAATGGATCAAACCTTAACCTCGTACTATCAATAATTTCACCTGGTATCTTTACTAAAACTATTTTGAGAAGAAGATCTTTATGCATTTGAATCCACAAATAGGGTGATGGTTGTCAGCATATATGGAAGCCACGACTTGGAAAGTAATAATATATATAGATGGGTATTTTGGTCTTTGAAATTTTGAAATAAAATAAAAAATATATAATAAGGACATAAATGTAATTACACAATAATAATTAACACCATCCAATCTAAGGGAAGGTTTGTGTAATTTGGCAAACAAGAGGGGAGGTCCCTGTATAGTGACGAAATCTCAGGGGAGGTCAGTATAATTTGCCCTAAAATTTTAATTGATTAAGACTTTATATTTCATTGAACAAATAAATTTCAAAAAATATCATTAAAAATTTAATTTTTAGCTATCACTTATATTTTTAATCGTTAAAATTCAATTCTTAAAACTTTTAATGTTATTGTTATCAAAAGGAGCAATTATGGTAGATATACACCACAAATAATCTTTAAGGTATGAGATGAACTAAACTTAGAAACAGTTTATATGTAAATATAAAGTCATATTAATGTGCATCAATAAGCAACTTATAAAACTTTAATGAATATTAATTTTCTACCTAAAGAGTTACATAGCAACATGCAGTTACTTCAAAATGGTATAAGCTCTCCCCCTCAAATGTGTGGTTAAGAGTTCAAATCATGTTCGAGAGATATAAGATCTAAAAATCATAAATATTATTTTATGTTATATATATATTATTACTATTTTTCTTTATCATTAAAATTATATTTTCTCTTATATAATAGAATAAATTTCCCTATATGCATGCACATAATATATTATTTTCTAATAAAAAAAGTTAAAGACAATTTTTATGTAGTGCTTATTTTATTTTCAACGCCGGGGAAATGGCTATTATTAATTTATTAGATAATATATTTTTAAATAATGTTTCAATAACTAACACATTAGAAATGCGACATAAGTTCAAGCTCCATGGTAGACTCTTCAGTTGGATCGGGTCACCCATGAGAAATTACACCAAACCCGTCGCGGTTCTGGGTCATCAACTCATCTTATAGACCAATAATTGAGAGCTTACACTTGCTACGGTGAAGCCGCATTCACCCTAATTCCTCCCACTAGGGTTTTTAAGATTACGTTCGTTACATCTCAATTCTCTTCTGCTTCGGCTAGGGTTTTCAGAGCCCCCATTTCTCTCTCTCTACACAAACACACACTTTCTCTCTCTATCATTTCTAAGTTATTGTTGTGCACTAATTTTTAGATCTATCCATGGAGTTAAACAAGAGCTAGGGTTTCGTGGTTGCTACTATCTTCAAAAAGTCTAGGGCTTTTCATTTCTAAATCTATAACTGTAAAAAATGGCAACCACAAACCCATTTGATCTTCTGGGTGATGATGACAATGACGACCCCAGTCAGCTCATCGCTAAGCTCCCGCCGCCGGACAAGAAGTCTCCAGCTCCGGCCCAAGCTGCCGCTGGTCAGCCGGCGAAGCAGGCCAAGCTGCCTTCGAAGCCCACCCCTCCTTCTCAGGCTGGTAAAGCTTTTATTTTTCACCGAATTTCTTCTTCGTTTTCTAATCATAACGCGCATTTTGATGTATAAATATAGATTTGAACATTTCTGTATTCATTTGCACTTTTCTCTTGTGTCAACTTGCTGAAATGGTGTAGGAATTTAAATGAAAATGAAGTTTTGAATTCATTCCCAACTTTTTTATAGTTGTACACGCACATGTAAGTCGATGTGTTTGTATGTTATTAACATTATGTTGCTGATAAAGTCGAGGTTATGAAACAAAATTGAAATTTGTGGTCCTATTTTTCGTAGTTTTGTGCTCTTTAATGTAGATCCGTTGTTTTGTTCAGATTTACACAATTAGTTGTTTTTAGATTGAAGTTGTTTCTTTCCACTAGCTGTTGTTGAAACTTTGATTAAAATTACATCACATTTGGCTAATATGGATGTTGTAGAATTAAAATTTTAATGTTTATAATTTGTTTAGCTAAATAGCATGTGTGTCAACTTCCATACTTATCCTTTTTCCTTTCTCCTTTTCAATTTTTTTTTTTGGGTTTGGGGAGTGGGGTAACTAAAAGAAAGAAGTAGAACAAATGGCCCATACTTCATACTTTTCTTTTTTCTTTATTGGATGATTACTGGAGAATTTTGATTTACACTTCAGTATATACATAAGAAGCACATTAGATTTAGTTTCTAGGCATCTTTGGTGTCCATGGAATTTGGATTGCTCTACTGTATCCATTGTATGGTTTTATTGCATAAATCATCATATTTGGCACTGTAATTTCATAATTACCGATTCTGTCTCCAAGGATCTACCAGCACTGTCTTTATTTGTACACCCATTAACTCCTCTATGTTGGCTTCCCATGACTGCGATTGCTGTAACCTAACTATCGCACATTGACTTTTAAAGTTGATTGTCGTCAAAATGGCCATCACCGCCACAACTTCCTCACTTTAATATTTGGAATTCATTATTTTTGCAATCAATGTTATTATTCACCGCCATGACTTGTTAGTAAACTTCAATGATTTGTAATCACAACCACTACTTTTAGCTTCCATTTCCAAACAATAACGCCAATGTAGTTGTCGATCTTTTCATAACCATAATTTTTTTACAGTTTGTAAATTGAATTATGTGAAAGTTATTGTGTATTTCAATGGCTCATCTAAAGATTGGAACTTAGTTTCCGTGTTTTCAGTTTTCTGTAATGGAGTCCCAAGGAGCTAGGATCGATCCCCATTAGCTAAACCAAAGCATCTACTTAGTGTTTATACGTGCTTCATTGCTGATTTTAACTTTTTTCATAAAATTAAAGTTCTCCTTTGGCAGTCCATAGCCCATTAGCAGAGTGAGCATTTGCATTAAGGTATTTTTTTCCTGTCGTTGTTGCCTGTTCTTCTTGTGATGTGTTAAAAAGAGTAGCTTGACTGTATTATTCTACATATAGCTCGTGTTTGCTTGTTTTCCTTTTTCTATGTTGTTGGCTCTGATATCTCTGTTGTTCTTATTGATATTCCTATCCTTGTTGCCCGCCCCCGCCCCCGCCCCCCCCCCCCCCCCCCCGGGTATGCTACCTCTGTTAGAATTTACCCGGCTATAGGGTAAGGTTGTCTTCTTTGTTTTGTTTTTTCTTCACCTTAACCCCAATGCCCTATAAAATAATTTTGGTTATATTCCACTTTCTCCTTGTGTCTTTGATTCTTATTGAGTAGTGAGGGAGGCAAGGAATGATGCTCCACGTGGAGGCCGAGGTGGAGGGCGTGGACTTGGACGCGGACGTGGTGGTGGTGGTGGATTTAATCGGGATCCAGTCAGCAATGAAAATACTTTTGGCAGCAGCAGTGGATTTTCTGGAGGGTACAGACCCTCTGAGGAAGGAGATGCTGGGAGATCTTCTGAAAAGCGTGGGTATGGTGGGCCTCGTGGCGGTTTCCGTGGTGGTCGCCGAGGTAATTTTGGCAATGGAGAAATTACAGAAGGGGAACGTCCTCGGAGGACATATGAGCGGCATAGTGGAACTGGCCGTGGGTAAGTATTTCTTTATTGTTGGAATGTTTTTAACTTCTAGTTTATAGTAGGTTGCTTTCTTTTCCTGCTTATTTTATTGATTTTTATATTTTATAATTTCATTATGGTGTAACTCATTATGCTTGCTCTGTTAGTTTTGCATGTTATAGTTTCAGCATTCTCTCTTTCTTATACTTATCAAAATAATAATAATTCTGTCTTTCTTATTGTGCAGGAGTGAGGTCAAACGTGATGGTGCTGGTCGTGGGAATTGGGGAACTCCTACCGATGAAATTGTTCCGTGAGTATTCTCTTTAGCTTCTAGCCTTGAAATGGAATTCTACTTTATTGTATTATGTTTTTGACATGTAAGAAGCTGGATAAATAATCAAAAGGATATTTGCTTGCTTTCGACAAATTTTAGGGAGACCGAAGAACCTGTCATTGAAATTGAGAAGAATGTGGACGCTGATAAGCAAATGGGACAGGAAGACGCTGGAGATGCCAACAAGGAGAACCCAGCAAATGAGCCAGAAGAGAAGGAGCCTGAACAAAAGGTGAATGCTTTGTTCGAGTATGTTGTATATTTGTCTTTTCCATCTTTGTGTTATCATTTCCTAAGTGCCTTTTGGCAGCTTACAAGAGGTAGGAAAAGAGAAGGAACCTTAGAATATTAGAACTACTTGGGTTTAACTGTGTGTCAAATTCCTAATTTAACCCTTTATTTTCCTTCCATTTTCTGGCAATGTGACAAAGCATATTGTTTATTGAGCTGAACAAATAAAACATAGTTTCTCTGAGGTTAAGGATGTAGAGCATAATTTCTCTGATATAGAGCATAATATTGGTGATTGATCAGAGCAACATGGAATATTTGTTAAAGCCGGTATTTTTGTATGGGTTTAGTCATGTATAATAAGTGAGTGGATCTGTAACCAAGAACTATAGGTATGATTTATTTTGTTTTTCCCTTTCTATCATGGAGCCTTGAATAGACAATTAAGCCCAATTCCCCTATCTAATTCATTGGACCTTTTTGTGAGATCTATTGATCAGAGGCATACCTTTCTTTTCCTAGAATTTGATGTATCTGATTCCGTCTGGCAACTTGGTGCTTTTCTTGGCTAGTTGTTTACCTCCGGTAATGTTCTTTAGTATATTAGTTTGAATTAGATTAGATATCTTGATTAGATGGCAGGTTGATCATTTGCATTACTATCTTAATCCTAATACTGAACTCTATGTGAATTGATTTAGAAAATCCAGTTTAGGTGTTTTGGCACCCGCCCAATGCATCTCCCTTTTCTGGTATTCCTTTTGTGATATATCTTATTTTTTTTTTTTAAAAAAGTCTTCTATCTTAACACATGGGTGGCAAGGTTACTTGGAAATGGGTTAGCCATGAATCAGTTTTATCCATAGATCTCCTGTTATGATCCATTCATAAAGCATTTTGAGAATAATTTGTTCATAAAGCAGGACTTGCACTTAGTAAATTCCACTGAATTTTTTGAATACTGAGATGTGTTGTGTTACATTTTTCTATAGGCATTCCGTTTTATATAGCCAATAAATAAATTATGTACCTCGTTAAGGAAGCAATATAAATACAGAAACAGCATTCAGATATCGAAGTGGTAGCATTTCTTCAAAGAAGCCAACTTGTTTTAACGATATTGAGAATTGAGATCACTTGCTTTTGTTGTTTGGGTACATAGCGAATTCAGGGACAAATCATTAGACCTGGATTTGAGTTGGACACTTTGATTCTTAAAAGACAGAATGGAGTGAACTGTAGTCTAATGAGATGAAGAAACAACGTTCGGATATCAAAGTGGTAGCATTATTCCAAAGAAGGTTGACTTTTAACCATCTTGAGAATCGAGTTCACTTGCTTGTGGTGTGTGGGTCATACCGAATTAAGCAACAAATCATTAGACCTGTATTTGAGTTGGAGACTTTGATTCTTTAAAAGACAGAATTGTAGATAATGGAGTGAATTGTAGTCTAATGAGGACCTTTGAATGCCCTGGTACTCTTATATTTTGGAGTATGCTGAAATTGAAAAGTACTGTGCAGTCATGAGTATGTTAAAGCTAAGCATATTTTGCAGTATGTTCCGTCATGGTATCCATGTTGTTTATGTTATATTCCTGTTCCTTGTCATAACAGGAGATGACTCTGGAAGAGTATGAGAAAGTACTTGAAGAGAAGAGGAAGGCTTTGCTGGCGCTAAAGACCGAGGAACGGAAGGTTAATGTGGACAAAGAATTTGAATCAATGCAACTGCTTTCAAGCAAGAAGAGTGATGAAGAGATCTTCGTAAAATTGGTGAAACCCCTTGAGAACTTTTGGATGTTGTTGTATCTGATAGTATTTAATATTTCTGTCAATGAAGCTTTATGCAAGCTGTTTGATTAACATCTGATGAATTGTCAGGGTTCTGAGAAGGATAAGCGTAAAGAAGCTGCTGAAAAAGAAGAGAGAGCCAAAAAGGTATGCTTGGTTTTCAGTTTTTTGAATTACCTGTTTGGTTTCTTTAACGTTGCTGCTTATATTTGGGTGTTCAGTGTTGTTTCGTTGTCTGGGTACATCTGAAATAAGTGACAGCTGCCACAGCTATGCTTTTATACATTCATTTCTCATTATTATCATAGTCAGCCACTTCCTCCCCCCTCGCCCCTTCCCCCTGTTGTACAAGGAATTTACTTGTTAGCATGATACTTCATTGTTTTACCATCATTAGTTAATCTTGGTCAGCGAGAAACTAACTTTTAAAGAAAATAATCTGTGTAGTGGACTATTTTATAGAATCTGGAAAGGGGTTCATTAACAGGGGGGGTTGCTTAATGAATGAGAAATGCTAGTGGCACTGGTGTCGTGAGTCCCACTTCGGGGCCTGCATGTTCCAATAAATGAGGTACGCAGTCGCGACTGCCCGTAGCAACCCCCTTCCCTTCTCATTTTCTCATAATGAATCAAGATTTTCGTATTCTATTGGCCAATTGCTTCCGTCTCATGGAATTCTGGTAGCTCTATGGTGGATTTTTTTTTTAATTCTCAGGATCATATCTTTATCCCGCCTGTTTTTTTCCCCAATTCCACCATTTTTTATTGTCAGGCCAAAAGTCTTCATCTCTTTTGGAAGTTATCTGATCTCTCATTAAGGCTTATTACAATCATATGAAATTTTGCAAAAATTCTCTAACATCCCTGTCTGAGTTAACCGTTAAGCCCCTGTCCCATGCTAATTTACAAACTACCCCAGATTATATTACATTGATTTTATAATCGACATGGGTGATGAAGCAACATTTTGCATTTTATCGTTTTGCCTTTCTGATTTCTTTTGTCAAATCAGTAGTTTTTTCATCTGCTAAACTCTCTCTCTCACTTTAATTGTTCAGCGTCCTAAATTGACTAGCTAATATATATCCCCCTCGTGCAAATAAAATAAAATTAAAGCATCCTTAAATCCATGCAATTAGTAACTAAATATATCTGCTATACATGCAGTTAATTTCCCTTTTCATTTTGTTAAAAGTTAAAACCTAATATACATACACAACCAATAAAACATACGCCAACCATTCTAACCTCTATGGACTAACAATGATGTTAGCAACCCGAAATAGAGAAAATAGGGTGAGAGATAGTGAGATTTAACCTTTCTCTGATATATATGCAATCTCATTATAACAACGATGTTATAACAATTGCTGTCATATACTATTCCATATTAATTTTGAATTTCTGGTGGGATATTTTGGTTAAATAATGCTATGATCAGAACTTATTTTTCATATTTGTCTGGATTTAATATTGTTTAACTTTAATTTGTGTTCTGTAGTTCTGATTATCACGTACTTGATTTCAACAATGTTGCTTTGTGCCAGCAGAAAATAAACATCATTTCTCATCCTGCAACTTCACATCTTCGTAATGAGACTTACAATTGTTTCTATCATGTACAGTCTGTCAGCATAAATGAATTTCTGAAGCCTGCTGAAGGAGGAAAGTACTATAGCCCTGGTGGTCGTGGCCGGGGACGTGGCCGTGGTACAAGAGGAGGATTCAGCGGAAGCTACACAGCGAACAATGTGGAAGCCCCATCCATTGCAGATGTTGGCCAGTTCCCTTCCCTGGGTGCTAAGTGAGGGTTCGCCCTGTGCAGCTTCCTCAATCGCGTTGGATTCTCCCTGGTTTCTTTTTGGGATCCTGATGATATTTGAGGAGGGCTCATTAGAGCAAAATGGTCACAGGAATAATATATTTTCCTGTCTAAAACTATCTTTAAACTGTTACTTTGTCAAAGAGTGTATATTTTAGATGTTTTTGTGGGTCGATGCCCATGGTTCTCATCGTGATCTTGATTTCCATGGATACACACTTCAATCATATTTAGGTCATTAGAGGTTATTCTCATGTCTTTGATAGAGATGTGGGGTATCATTTTTGATTTGGACTTGGTTGAGAATAGTATTTGGTTTCTCTTTTTGATGTCACAATTATGTTGATGGCAGTTTTTGGTAAGAACTAGTCAATCTCGGAATGCCATATCCATTCCTGTGCAATCAATCATATAATGGCCAATTAAGACTCCAGAGAACTTTGCTAATGTGGGTGGAAGTTTAAAAAACTGGTCTCTGATTAGTACAAATAGAGAGTAATGTACTTGAAATATAGTTACCAGAGCATTCTCTTTCCTGAGTAAGTACATTTACCAGGGGAGACATTGTAGGCTAAAAACTGATGTTTTTCCAAATAATTGTTTGAAAAATTAAAACTTGTCCATCCAAAATTATCATCAGTCAAGTACAATAGTAAATGAGTAGTGATACTCTTGTCTATTTTTTGATTAGTTATTTATACTTAAATACAAGTATGTTGAGGGCCATTTGACACTCTTATTTGTTGCTTAACTGCAACTACGTGGGAATTTTTAATATTTCCTAACTTGTGTCGTTCTCTCTGTGTTTTCACATTTCAAGACCTAGATACCAACCCAAAACACAATGACCGGAAAATCTTTAGATGCAAACCGTTTTCTTCCTTGTTATTTTACGTAATTCCATAATCAAGACAACAGTTTCGCTGCTGTTCAGATGGCTATTAAAGATGTTCTTACTGGGAACTGCATGATTCAAGATCTGCTCATCATGGCTGGTGAAATCACGCATGAACATTTTTGCTAAAATGCCTGTTAACTTCACATGCAAACACGGGTTCCATGTTATTACTTCACCACTCAGTAAACCTATAGTAACCATTAAACCCTCGATGATGCCACTCACCCAAAATCCAAAGACGATGATGCCACTCAACCAAGATCCAGTTTAGTTCTAGGCAGGTTTGAATTATAAGATCGAAAAAAACTAAGTTTTGTACTCCGATGTTAGAAGTGAGCGTCTCCCATGCAATGGAGATGCCAAGCTGTATGCAACTGAAAGGAGCAGAACTTGACAAAAGTAAGTACTATTCACTAATATTCCTACTTTGTACAGCAATCTTTTAAATCAAGTACATTGAAAAGAATGTAGGTCTTAACAAAGTTCTGAAGCACCAGATATAAAAACAAATCACAATGAGTTCTTTTTCAGAGAGAAGAAACGGGGAGCTGAGGGTAAAGAAAGGGGGGGGGAAAAAAAGAAAAGATGAGACTAGTTTTACAGGAAATGCATCCTTGGGCAACCAATTCTGTCGCCCTTCAATTAGAGCAGCAACCAGCTTTTTGATTCACAGGTTGTCCTCGGATCTGCACTGTCGGAGGCCTGGCATTGTTCATCGCAGGCTGGCTTGCCATCCTGTATATACGGATTAAACAGTTGATCAGAAGATGAAAAGAAATGAACAGAACATAATCAACTAAAATAAAACAGCAAATTTTTATGGTGCGTATAAAGTTTAGTTCTTTCGTAATGAATTAATACAACATATAGTACCTGTTCTTGATCTCAGCAGCCATGGCCATGAAAGCTTGTTCCACATTTGTAGCATTTTTGGCACTTGTTTCCAGGAAAGGGATGCCAATTTCATCAGCAAACGCCTGAACAAGGAAAACAGGAAGTCTAGGGACTGAATTTCTATACTACCACAACAGAAAGAAAAAAGAATATATATATATATATATGTATGTATGTATGTGTATTAACAGAAGAGTTAAGATACAGAAATAATTATTATTACCTTCCCTGTCTCATATGACACAACTTTCTGTGCCGTGAGGTCACACTTGTTTCCTACTAGAAGCTTATTTACATTCTCACTTGCATAGCGGTCAATTTCATTCAACCACTGCTTGACATTGTTAAAGCTCTCTTGATCGGTCACATCATAAACCACCTGCCAGTAATACCATAAATATAAGGCTTACAAAAATCCCTATATGAAAACAAACTCAGAGATGTACACAAAAAAGGAAATGCATCACTTACTATAATGCCATGCGCCCCACGGTAGTAGCTACTAGTAATTGTCCTAAAACGTTCTTGTCCAGCAGTGTCCCACTGCACGTCCAGAGAAAAGTAGGTGTCATTCAGTTGTTATCAAGAAAACAATAACCAAGAAGAGGTAACACCATGTTCGAAGGCAACATAAGAAACCCAGGCACAAGAAAATAGTCATAAAAGTAAGATACTCATTAAAAGAAACACCAAACAAGACTCCGGAGATATGAAATATTTCAATTTTTGACATTTAATCTGATTAGAGTAGTCTTACAAATTTCACTGACTATTTTATACTTTATGAAATTTCCAAAAAATTTCCCACGTGAAAGAGAGTTTTAAGTTTCGGATTTCATTAAAATTCAAACAAGAAGCAAAATTGAAACCCTTGAAAGGAATAACTGATAGCAAGGTGATTCAGAAACTTACAATTTGGAGTTTAATGGTTTTACCATCCTGTTCCACCGTGCGGATTTTCTACATTAGAAAGCATTAGAAAAATTAGCAATGAATATAAAGGTTATGTACTCAGTAAACCAAGCCAAGGGCATGGGAACTAATTGCTTACGAAGTCCACGCCAATGGTGCTGATGTAACTATCCAGATACGAATCATCCTAAAACACAAAATTAACAAATATGGTTAGAGAAAATATACACCATTCAAAGCTACTTAACTTGAAATCTTTAGACCAGAAAAAACCATGAACATATCAACATAACAATTACATCCATATTCTATACAAAAATGAAGATCACAACATTAACCAAGAATCATTTTAGGCCAAAAGTAACTGCATCATTGGGTAAAATCTTCACTCAGACATCCAACTGTCTACATTAACGTCACATCGGAAGTTTTCTGTTAATATCAAATAAGTAGTCTTCAATCGGAACGGATATCCACCTCCTTAGGTAGCATGGACAGACGTAGCATGGGCCGACCTGGTGGTGGGGAAAGAAGGGGGGGGGGGGGGGGGGGGGGGGTGTTGGGGTTATTAATATTTTTATTTTTTAATGTATATAATTTATGAAATATATAAAATGCCACCCCCACCCCCCTAAAATTATTTTTTTTCTTCAAAAAATCTATCTAATGATTTTCCTTATTCTTCTTCATTTTTTTAAATCGTCTTCAAAAAATTTGCATTTTCTTTCTTGAATTAAAAACTATTTTTTTTCCTTTTAAAATTCTCTCATATTTCTTCTTTTTACCAAAGTTTTATTTTATCATATGTTAGTATGCCCCCCCAACCAAACTCCTGGCTCCATCCCAATTAGGTAGCATCAGTTCCCTTTCCAATATATACCACAAAAGGTTAGATACAAACAGAACAACATCATGCTGTAAGTGATGCTTATGTGGCAGGTAAAGTAATTTTCATATAAAATCGCATCACATACTTCGTCTTTAGCAAAAAGTAGTATGTTATACACAAATTATTCTTGTGGTAATCAAAAGAATAATAAATATGCAATGACAAGTCTTCATAAGCACTATGGCAATTTTCAAATAATAAAACTTCAGTAAATAGAAATGAAACAGAAAAACAGACATTCTAATATCCAGAGTAACCCATGAATGGCAAATATAAAAATAAATCCAAAAACTTACAGCAAACCTCAGGAGGAGGCATGATTTGCCAACACCTGAATCTCCAATGAGCAAAAGCTTAAAGAGGTAATCACTGCAAATAAGAGTAAAAAGGAGAACAAAATACTTTCATCAATGCCAAAAAATAATAGAAAACTTCTTGAATTGAAAATGCAAATGCTTTTCATCTCTGTGTGTGCGGATGCCATGTTTGTGCGTGTGCATCCAAATATGTTAGATAGAAAAATCAGATAATATATCTATATATATGACAAATTATTCAAGCACTAAAGTTAGACATCTGTTACAATCAAAAAGCTAAATCTATGCAACTCAAGCTACCTAAAAATTACTTCTGACTAAAAAATGCATGAACATATCATCATTTGATATATCCCTCCCAATTCCTATATTCAAAAATTAGTAATTAAGCCTCACAAAATATTCTCCATGTTCCAATTTCATGGACAGAACAATTTTCCATATATGTACACAATGCTACATCAGCAATTCATTCATCAACCAAGCTAAAAAAAATATAAATGAAAACTATTATCTGGAGACCCTCCCACCAAAATCTCCATCCAGAACTCTTTAAACATCTTGTGCAATCATTGTGGAGGTCGAAATCTCAAGCACAAGATTTAACAAGCAATGTTGGCAATAACATGCAACCCCGAATGATCATCCTAAATTTGTTTGATTTGTTATTCAAAGCGACACAGGTATTCAAATTTGCCTTTCTGCTGCAAATATAAAATGTAATTCAACATATGAAAGCGAATTAGATAATTTACTCTTCCAACTATCACTTTCTTAACCCCACCAAACTGTAAACACACACATATATTGCAGGTTCAACCAGAAGTATATTTTATGTCCTATGTAGGTGAACTGGATATGTAAACCACCACTTAGTTGCATACTAACTTCAAAAGAACAGTTGACCAATCAAATGTATAGGTAGATAAAGTGCATTTTTTTTTTAATGTTCGTCACACAAACATGAACCACGAGGTACCCTGTTCAATAAGTTGTACAATGCATTGATGCTCAATCTTATGGGTACAAAATGGTGAATCATAACAGTGGAAGACACATCAATGATGATATAATTTGAACCTTATAAACCTAAGCAGTAGAACCAACCCAATTGATCATTGCCAGTTAATGCGACTTCATGTATTAAATAAAAAAATCAATATTCGTAACAACTAACAAGGCCATTGCCAGTGCTAGTCTTGCTAATGTACAAAGTTAAGAGGGGCAGACTAAACAATAGCATTATTTAATTAATGTGACTACTGTCAGCCCCAAACCCACCTTTTCATGCTTAGGACTTGATCTTTTATCATTGTACCATGTAAAAGTCACTTTCCTCAATTCTTTTAACTACCAGAAACTGACACAAAAATTCGAGAACCTAGCGAAATCTAACTTCTTCCACCAAAAAATTGATTTTCAACTACTATCACCAAATGCTAGCCTAATGCAACTACCAGCGCACATCATGCCTGGGCCCTTCAACTTTTCAGATACATAATCAAATTCCAGCACTTGTTTTAAATTCACCAATTAAAAGCCAAAAACAATTTATTTTGGAAAAAATGAAACTTTTTATAACTGTCAATGACAGGCTAGCTACATGTCCATCCAAAATTCAAGAATTCCAATTATTCAGCTAAGTTCCACCATACGATCTGACATTTTTCAACAATATTCTTAGCTAAAGTACAAAGTGGAAAACAAAAAATTCAAACTTTCCATTAGTTTTGATCATTGTTTCCAAAATTACATCCTAATCTTTTTGCACCGAAATACTGAAGGAATTCGATGGGAATTCCATATGTGCAGAAATATATAAAATTATGTATAAATATAGTATATTCATAGAATTGTACTTTCCCCACACGCCCAAACACAAGTACACAACAGACCAAAACCGATTAATGGATCTGAAACCAAATCACCTAGATCTATGTTGTCAATTTAAATCACATCATACGATCCAAAAAACCATCCAAACACAACAACAACCTAATCACAAAAATTTGTTACAGATACAAGCATCAAATCATAACAGATCTAAACGAAATACATCACGAATCTAATAAATTCGAACAAAGTCACGAAAAAGTGTAGATTTTAACAACTTCAGTGCATAATTCGACAATAAAACAGAAATCTATCACGCGAACTTACTATTCAGGATTCATGGCTGTATATTGTTTTGATCGTTTAGGCGAAGAGAAGTCCGGCGAGTATCGCAAATATGCCTGAGATTTTATGAGTTTTCCGGTGAGAACTTGAACGGAATTTCGATCGATGCAGAGAGAGGGATAGAGAGGGACGGAGAAAGAGATTGTGAAGGTGGGGAATGAAGAGGACTCCGATTCTTAAAGAGGCCTAAATTGTCGGAATTGTGAAGGTGGGTGGTGACGTAGCAAGTTGAAGGAGTGCTGGCCACGTGTCATGCATTGTGGCACAGGTGTGATAATGGGCTTTTGTTTGTCTATTTTCTTCCACTTATATTCATTAATTCTATTTTAATCAAAGGAAAAATACAAAAAACCTAATAATAAGTGGATGGTGACAAAAAAATAAAAATAAAAAGGCCTTGTGTCCAATGGTAAGTGGATGGTGAGATTCGAACCTTCAAATTAACAAAGTGAGTGTAAGTGTAAGTTTCTTTACCAAGGTTTGTTTGGCTAGACGAAAATAAATGGTGAAAAGTGAAAGTAAAAGAAAGTGAAATGAATGAAAATAAAATTAAGTTTTTGAGGAGGCCCCGGATGACATGGGCCAGGTCCGACTCGCAAAACACAACCTTCAGTCCGAACAGCTGGGTCAGCCCATAGAAAGACACTGTCATATGGGCCGAGCGGGAGTAAGCCCATCAAGGGTGACTAGGGCTTACAGAGGAATAGGCCCAGGTCCAGCAATCAGAAAATATCTTGCAAATATCTTGTAAATATCTTGTAAGTATCTATAAATAGGAGTTGGAATGAAGAGGAGAGGGATCTTTTTCGGGTTGAGGTGTAAGAATTCTAGAGAGAGAAAGAATAGTAGGAGTTTCTTGCATCTTCAATTGGCGCCGTCTGTGGGAATCGCATGAAAGTTTGGTTGATCAATGAAGAGTATCGAATGGATTCAAACCAATTCGGTTGATCGAGACTCGATCTTGGGGATTTGAATCCAGATCTGAGCGATTATGACCTACTCTGGAGGAATTACAATTCTTGAAGCTTTGGCAGGAGTGACTTCGGATCTACGCAACCACGAGTTGTTCGATTGTGGCAGGATCTGACGGATTTAGAGTTCAGACAATTCAGATCTCGTAAACAGTGAGCATAATTCGGAGAATTAGAAGCCAGATCTAAAAATTCCTACTCACGAAGCTCAGATTTACTCGCGAACTTGAGATTAATGCCTTTACTCCGTTCGGGAATAATGATAGGTGAAAGCTCCAATCCGATGGAGGCTGTCCAGCAAACAAAGCTTGAAGAGTTGATGAACTTGATTGAAGCTCTCAGAAAAGAAAATGCAGAATTGAAAGCTGGACTGCAGCATCGGCAGATACCTGCGGCTTCGCATCCACTTCCGGTCGGAGAAGGAGGTGTTCCATCTAATATCGCGCATCAAGGCGATCAGGACAAGAACAATCAGTCAGCTCACCACCGTGATGAAAGGATGATGGACAATTTGCCGCCAAATGTTCGTCGAGTTGAAGATCACGAAGGATCGACTCACGTTGATCCGCAGCGGGAAAGGTTTGACCGAGAGGAAGTGATGGAGGTTGATCGCCGTCGAGTAGCGTCGCCTTGGCAAAGAGAGTCCATAGAGGAACGGTCGTTCGATCCGTCTTACCGGCCCTCCATGGTTACTGTCACTCATCACGGTTCGGAGGGCAGAACCGTAACTCACAGAGCTACCGCTGGACTCCAGAGAGAGAATGAAGCTCTCCGATCCGCAGCTCGGACGGTGGATTCACCATTCACCGACGCGATCTTGAATGCGCCGCATCCAAGGAAGTTTGCTATGCCAGTCTTTATTCTGTTTGACGGAACGACCGATCCGATCGATCATGTGTATCATATCCAGTTGAAAATGGCCCTGAATACGGAAAACGACTCTTTAATGTGCAAATGTTTCCCTACAAGCCTGGCCGGACCGGCGCTCAGCTGGTTCAAAAACTTGCCTAGGAGCTCAATTGGCAGTTTCAGAGACCTGTGCGATCGGTTCATAAGCCAGTATTATGGGAACAAACGCCCGCCGAAGGACATCTCGAGCCTATTCACGATGCAGCAGCACAAGGATGAACGTCTCCAGGCCTTTCTTACCAGGTTTAATCTCACTAAGAGTATGGTGATCGAATGCCACCCTTCTACGGCAGTTCAAGCCTTCAAGTTAGCCATGACACGCGGAACTCCCTTTCACACCAGTCTGGTAGTGAACACGCCGGCTACCATGGATGAACTCAATGAGAGAGCCGATGGCTTTGTGCGCCTAGAAGAAGAGGAGGCAGCTAATGCTCGGACAACGTCGCTTGTGTCAACCGAGGAAAAGTCCAAGGCAAAGATCAGGCAGAAGCAGGCTCAGCCGCAGCGTCAGACCACCTGGAAGGCCGAAAAAAGGCCCAGGGAGGAAGAGTTGATTACTCCGCTGAAGGTCACTCTGGCGAGGCTGTATCAGGAGAACAAAGACAAGTTTCATCCACCACTGCCAATTAGACAACCCCTCGAACAAAGGGATCAAACTAAACATTGTGCTTTTCATTCTGATTTCGGACATCAAACTAACGAATGCAGGAACTTGAGGAGGCAAGTGGAGATGTTGATAGCTAGAGGGGAGTTTGCGAGTTATGTTCAAGGCTCGGCGATGGAGCAGAATCGACCAGTGGAACAAATAAAAAGGAGTCATAAACAAAGCTCCCACAATTCGCAGCCAGTTCGTATAATCAATGCTATCCATGGTCGACCCGAGCCTAGTGAAGAGTCAGATGAGCTGCTACGGGTGCGCCTGCGGCAGGCGCAGATGAAGAAAAGGGTCGGCAATGTGACCACTCTACACCAGCAGAGCCCATCAATGCAGATAAAGTTCGACTGGACAGACCTGCAGCGTGTTCAACTGCCTCATGACGACCCGTTGGTAGTCAGTTTGACAGTGGCAGATTGCTTGGTGCGCAGAGTTCTGATCGATCCTGGGAGCAGTGCGAATGTTATGCCGAGGGACACATTTGACAGGCTTGACATTAAACCAGAGAGGCTCAAGCCCACCGGAAATCCCTTATTAGGGTTCGATGGGAAGAGGGTGGAACCCGTCGGGATGGTGGAAGTAGAGGTTCAAGCTGCAGAACGAGCTCTTATGGAAACTTTTGTGGTTGTGGAAATTCACCCCTCGTATAATCTCCTGATGGGAAGAGGGTGGATTCACAGAGTCCGAGGTGTACCCTCAACTCTGCATCAGGTCATGAGGTGCCTCGGGCCCGATGGAGATAAAGTAATAGACATTCGGGGGGATCAGGTCGCAGCCAAAGAGTGTTATTCCGTCACACTAAAGCATGCTGGGAAAGGAAAGGCGCCCGTCCGGTCGACAAGCCCCAGATAGCAATTACAGGAACCTCCACTCGAGCAGAATAGGGTGGAGGAGTCAGCCGACTTGACCGAGGAGCCCCTTCTGGATGTGCAGATCGATCAGTCCAGGCCAGAACGAACTACCAGAGTGGGTATAAGACTGACCAGAGAAGAGCAGCAAGAGCTGGTGGATTTCTTGTCCCACAATGTCGACGTATTTGCATGGAGTCACCTCGACATGCCTGGAATTAGTCCTTCCGTATCCTGTCATTCCCTGAATGTCAATCCTAATTTCAAACCAGTGAAACAGAAGCAGCGAAGATTTGCTCCAGAACGTAATCAGATCATAGCGGAAGAAGTCGATAGGCTGCTTGATGCGGGATTTATCAGAGAGGTGCACTACCCTGAGTGGTTGTCCAACGTCGTTGTGGTGCAGAAGAAAAATGGGAAATGGCGAGTATGCATTGATTTCACCAATTTGAACAAAGCCTGTCCGAAGGACAGCTTCCCGTTGCCTAAGATTGATCAAATGGTGGATGCTACCACTGGGTATGAGCGTTTAACCTTTCTGGACGCATATTCAGGTTATAATCAGATTCCTATGGACCCCGCAGATGAAGAAAAAACTTCTTTTGTCACCGAGCGAGGAACATACTGCTACAAAGTTATGCCTTTTGGATTAAAGAATGCGGGAGCAACTTATCAACGACTTGTTAGCAAAGTTTTTAAGAATCAAATGGGTAAGACTGTCGAAGCCTATATTGATGATATGGTGGTAAAGAGTAGGAAAAAGGATGATCATCTGAAGCATCTGCAAGAGGTATTTGATGTACTAAAGCGATATGGGATGAGGCTCAATCCGACCAAGTGCTCGTTCGGTGTGAGTTCCGGGCAGTTTCTGGGACACGTGGTCAACCGCAGGGGCATCGAAGTTAGCCCCGCTCAAGCAGAGGCTTTAATTAAGAATGCCGAGCCAAAGACGATCAGAGAGGTGCAAGCCCTAACAGGACGAATAGCTGCATTAAGTCGATTTATTTCAAAGTTGTCAGACCACTGCAAACCATTCTTTGACACGATTCGGAGCCATGGAAGGCAGGTCTGGGGGGATGAGCAACGACAGGCATTGACTCATTTGAAGCAATATATGCAGAATCCACCAGTCCTGTCAGCCCCAGAACCGGAAGAAAAGTTATTTCTATATCTTGGAGTATCTGGTGTCGCGACGAGTGCCGTTCTGATTCGTTGCAAGGAAGGGGTGCAATACCCGGTATTTTATGTAAGCAAAACACTGATGGAGGCAGAAAAAAGATACTCAAAGGCCGAACGGGTGGTACTTGCACTTGTAAATGCAAAAAGAAAGTTAAGGCATTATTTTGAATCCCACCCCATAGCTGTTCTAACAACTTTCCCAATCAGAACGCTCATGCACAAGCCAGAGCTCTCGGGCAGAATGACAAAGTGGGCCATAGAGTTGAGTTCATTTGACATAACGTACGAGCCGAGAATAGCTATTAAAGGGCAAGCGGTGGCCGATTTCCTACTAGAATGTGATGTCGAAGATACGGAAGAGGACCTTAGAAGCGGCTCTTGGAAACTTTTTGTGGATGGCTCCTCTAACCAGATGGGGGCTGGGATTGGGATCAAACTGCAAACCCCAGAGGGCACTTCCTTGAGCCAAGCGCTCAGACTTGAGTTCCGAGCCACCAATAATGAAGCGGAATACGAGGCGTTGCTAAATGGATTAAAGTTGGCCAGAGAGCTACAGATCAAAAGTTTGACAGTGTATAGTGACTCGCAGCTGATTGTTCGGCAGGTAAAT